GTGCCACAAAAAAAAAAAAAAAAAAAAAAAAAAGAGCCAGAAGTTGGTTCCTAGAAGACTGATAGACAAACCTCTGGAGAGATGGTCAAGAATAAAAGAGAGAAGGTGCAAATAACACCAAGAACAAACAAACAAACAAAATGCAATATCAGTAGAGCTTCAAAATATAAGACACTAATCTGAGCAGTTTTATGCCAATATATTTGAAAACGTTGGCAATATGGACAAATTCCTACAAAAAAATATAACTTGTCAGAACCGATTCAAGTAGAAATAGAAAGCCTGAATGGTCCTTTAACTATTTTAAAAGTTGCATAATAAAAATCTCTCTTAAAGAAAACAGAAGAAGGAAAAGGCAGCCATAGAGTGAGAAAAGATATTGGCACAGTAATCATGACAAAGAGGTCATTTCATGAGTGTATAAAATGGACTAGGGGGAAAAAAAAAATGAACAGGTATCTCATAGCAGAGAAAATCCAAACGGTTACTAAACATTTGAAAACGTGCTCAACCTCGTTAATAAACCACAGTGAGATACCACTGCGACCCACCAGATTGGCAAAAATATAACATCTAATAATAGTGAGTGATGAAGAGGCCACGGAGCCCTCTGAACTCTCAGGCACTTCTGGGGGCAGGGTAAACCGACACACGTGTGTTGGAACAAAGTGTGACAGTTTCTATTAAAGAGGAAAAGGCATAGACTTGGAGATTCCACTCCTAGGTGTTTACCATGCAGAACTGTGTGCTTATGTCACCAGAACACAAACACAAGAATATGCATGGGAGCATTGTTCGTGTTATAAAAAAACTGCAAAAACCCAAATGTCCAAGAATTGAATATATAAATTACGGTATATCCATAGTGTAGAATATACACAATTATGAAAAGGATCAAAATATAAACACATACCACCACATGGATGAATCATAAAGACAGTGTCAAGGGAAGAAACCAAAGAAATTACAATGTCACTACCTAAAGTTAAAAACAGACTAAATTAAACTATACTTTAAGGGATGCATAAGTAGGTACAAAAATCTTAAAGAAAAGCAAGCAGGGGAGGATAGCCAGGATAATAGTTACCCCCTGGGGGAGGGAGGGAGTTATGATTGGAAAGTATTCCATAGCAGGGAGTCTCCTTTGTGCTAGTAATAGTTCATGGCAGTTATATGTTTAAATTTATTTTCCAGCAATTCATTAAGCTGAACATTTACATTTTATGCACTTTTTTATATTATATTTTACACAAACACACACGTAAGGGTGACACTAGGTCCATGTGGTTTTACAGGCAATTTCTATGTAACTTTCAAGGAACTGATTATTCCAATCTTTTGCAAACACTTCCAGAAAATAGGAAAATAGGGACTGCTCCCCTTTTGTTCTGAGGCCAGTGTAACCTTGATCCCAAGACCAGACAGGAACAGATCAAGAAAGAAAAATATCACTCAAGAAGATGAATGCAAAATTGTTAGCTAATCAAATCTAGCATTGAATTAAAAAAAGATACATTCTGAGCAAGTTGGATTTATTCCAGAAACTAAGGGTGGTTTAATATTAGTTAACCTATAAATGTAGATCATTTGCATTTGATAGAGTGCAATACCCATTCATGATAAAAATTCTTTGCAAACTAGGAAAAGGGAATTTCACTAACATATAGGAAACAGAATTGTTTAAACTTTTTGTTTTGAAAGAACCTCAACCCTACAGAAAAGTTGCAAAAATACTTGAATAAATGATTATCCTTGACTTAGATTCACCAATAGTTAACATTCTGCCAAATTTACTTTTTATCTTTTTTTATATCTTTCTCTCCATATGTGTGTATATAGAATCTAACTCAGGATCATGAATTATGTTGAGTTGTCATATCTCTTAGTCTACTTTATTTCATTATATTGACATTTTAAAGCAGTGAAGGCCCACTGTTTTGTAGGACATTTCTTTTTTTGATTGTTTTGTTTTTGTCTTTTGTTTTTCGATTTTTAAAAATTTTTATTTATTTATTTTTATACAGCAGGTTCTTATTAGTTATCTGTTTTATACATATTGGTGTATATATGTCAATTCCAATCTCCCAGTTCATCCCACCACCACCACCAACACCACCACAGCCCACCCCACCCCCTGCTTTCCCACCTTGGTGTCCGTACTGTAGGACGTTTCTAAAATTGGATTTGTCCCATTGTTTCCTTGTCATTAGATTCATGTTATACATTTTTGGCAAGAGTATTAAACAAGTGATGTATCCTCAGTTCATTACATCATGTGACACATGATATCAGTTTGTCCCATTATTGGTGATATTTGATATCTTTATTAATATGGTGCAAACATCATCATAAAGAAGGAATGTGAGAAACATCCCTTTAGGGAATTCCCTCGTGGTCCAGTGGTTAGGACTCTGCGCTTCATTGCCGTGGCCTGGGTCCAATCCCTGATCAGGGAGCTAAGATCTCAGGGTGTGGCCAAAAAAAACAAAAAACAAAACTTGGCCAGAAGGTGCTGGCCTGCACAGTAAGATTAGAAAAATAACTTAAAGGTATAAGGATTGAAAAGGAAGAGGTAAAACTGCATTGTTTACTGATGTGATTGTCTACATATGAAACCAAAAGAAAGTAGAGTCAAATAATTAGAAAAATGAGTGTTTGGCACTCCCAGACTCATTCTATGAGGCCACCATCACCCTGATACCAAAACCAGACAAAGATACCACAAAAAAAAGAAAATTACAGACCAATATCACTGATGAATATAGATGCAAAAATCCTCAACAAAATACTAGCAGAATCCAACAACACATTAAAAGGATCATACATCATGATCAAGTGAGATTTATCCCAGGAATGCAAGGATTCTTCAATATATGCAAATCAGTCAGTGTGATACAAATTGAAGAATAAAAACCATATGATCATCTCAATAGATGCAGAAAAAGCTTTTGACAAAATTCAACACCCATTTATGATAAAAACTCCAGAAAGTGGGCATAGAAGCAACCTACCTCAACATAATAAAGCCCATATACGACAAACCCACAGCAAACGTCATTCTCAATGGTGAAAAACTGAGAGCATTTCCTCTAAGATGAGGAACAAGACAAGGATGTCCACTCTCGCCACTATTCAACATAGTTTGGGAAGTCCTAGCCACAGCCATCAGAGAAGAAAAAGAAATAAAAGGAATACAAATTGGAAAAGAAGAAGTAAAACTCACTGTCTGCAGATGACATACTATACATAGAGAATCCTAAAGATGCCACCAGAAAACTATTAGAGCTAATCAATGAATTTGGTAAAGTTGCAGGATATAAAGTTAATGCACAGAAATCTCTTGCATTCCTATACACTAACAATGAAAGATCGGAAAGAGAAATAAAGGAAACAATCCCATTCACCACTGCAACAAAAAGAATAAAATACCTAGGAATAAACCTACCTAAGGAGGTAAAAGACCTGTACTCAGAAAACTATAAGACACTGATGAAAGAAATTAAAGATGATACCAACGGATGGAGAGATATACCATATTCTTGGATTGGAAGAATCAATATTGTGAAAATGACTATACTACCCAAAGCAATCTACAGATTCAATGCAATCCCTATCAAATTACCAGTGGCATTTTTTT